ATACTTGCCTTGTTGCGGAAGCCACTACAGAGCTTGTTGGGTTGTTCACAGCTTGGCTTCGTTATGTTGTCGTGGTGATTTCTTTTTGCGAAGACTTCTAGACAGTTACAGGCGTCGTTCACGGCTGTTTGTTGAACTGAGTCGCACAATAACGTTGAAAATTACAACGACTTGAACCTCCAAGTGCAGCAAATCACGATTTCCTTTGAACTCAACGAGCGATGAACTGAAAATGCCATCATTGGAAACCTGCAAACAAAAACAGGAAATCAACACTCAAAAGGACGAAGGCGCAAGTTGCTGTTACTCGTCTGTCGCCGTTATCACAAAGCTACTGTCGTCGAAACAGGAAATCAACATTTATTTGATATTTTATAATATTTAAGATAATATTAACTAAATATTTTGCTTTTTTAAAAACAAAATGAAAGTCCCTTAATTTGGAGTCCTATTCACCAAAGTTAAAGTCATTGGATGATAATCAACCGAAAGAATGTTGTGTTAAACTTCACTCAACTTTTTTTATGGTAATTTATCGAATGTTGATGTAGATGATTTTTCTCTGAATTAAGAATGTTACAATTTATTTTGCCAAATGAAATCATGTTGGATATTGATATTTTTAAATTTATCAAACTTGTAGATTATTATTCAAATTTACTCAATCTAGTAACTCTGCCTTTCCATTTCAACATTATGTATAGTGTGTCATTCAATTTTTGCCACATCAGATATGTGAAAACCAGAATCCACAGCATAAGCATATAAATGAATACATGCATACGAGTTTAAATTAAGAACTAAGCAGAGAGATGTCACAGGGCCATAACTTTATTAATATTTTAAGAACTGATGTTCTTGATTACAGCAATTCAAAGTTTATTTTATTACATAAAATGGCCGCCTCAACATTCCATTGCGTGATTTTACTAAGATTGAGGGTGAACCAACGGGCCACGGTTTCCATTAGACTTAATTTGAGCAACCTCTCTGTGGCGAAGTCCGAAAACATTTGCAAGAACCTCAGCAGGAGTGGCCCTAAACACCTGATTTACATGGCTAACAGCAGCTCTATCATTTGTCTTGAACACTACATACTCCAATCCTTCTTCATTTCCTGCTTGTTGAGCCACCACAAAGTTTTGTGGCACCACCACCAATTGTCCCTTTCTCACCTTGTCGTCGAACACTGGGTTTCCTTGACTGTTCACTATTCTAACTCTTCCTTGTCCTCTAATCACGTACAAGAGGCTGTTGGCGTTGATGTTCCAGTGTGGAGCATATATACCATTCTGCATATTCATACATACATTGAAATATACACATTAACCATATTATGGAAATATACACATTGTTAAATAATTAGTACTATATACATACCCTGTAGAGACGAACATATTCAGCGCTGAGGCGTAAATTGCGGAGGATTGGGAGGGTTAAGCTGTTGACAGTGCTGATGCGGCCGGCACGTGAATTGTAAAGATCAGTACGTGAAGGGCGAGCGATGTTCTCATGAATCTTTACACTGCAAATAGTTTCTTCCAAACCATTCTTTCCTCCTTTGCTGCGTTGACGTTGTATTTCTTCCTCTTCCTCCTCTTCCTTTTCTAGTTCTTTTTCTTCTTCTCCTTGCCCGCGTGATTCTCGTTTCTTCTCTTGGGTGTGTTTTTTCCACTTTCGACGAGTCTCATGGCTGCGAGGTTCATCCTCATCCTCCTCTTCTTTTTTGCTATGTTTGCGGTCTCTTTGTTCTCGTTCTTCTTCCTCGTCCTCATCCTCCTCTTCTTTTTTGCTATGTTTGCGGTGTCTTTGTTCTTTTTCCTCTTCCTCCTCTCTTTGACTCTGACTTTGTTCTTCTTCTTCTTGCAACTCAGGACTGATAATCTGAAGACCGTCCTCTACTTTTACGATTTGACCCCTTTCGTCCTGTGGAGATTGAAGTTTCTTGGCTGTATCTTCTTCGGTGTTGAGTGAATGTGCTAAAAACTCTGTGCTGAAGCCACTCAGCACGCTGTTACCTTCGTTTTGTTCCTCAGATTCCTCCTCTTTTTGTTGACGTCCACCTCTACGTCCAATGGGGGAACTGTGTCTTGGTTGATGTTGTTCGTATTGTTTTTCCTGTGTTTCCGGGAACTCTGCCTCTGGATTTCCACCAAGGTAAAATACCTGCAAACACATAATTCAGTAGAAAATGTTACACGTTAGAAAAGTTTATAAGTCTCTTCAACAGCATCACAATATCAAAATTTGGATAATGTAACTTATAGTTATATAATTACTTACTCTGGGGGTTGAATCGAGCTGGTTTAGAGTGTTGGAAGTGTCAAGAAGACTAATGGCAACAAGAGGTTCATGACCATGATTATAGGTCCAGTAAGGAATTCCAGGTGGAATGGCAATGACATCACCTTTAGAGAAGCGCCGAATCTTTTGGTGGCTGTCACGTAGTTGCTGCTGCTGTCTAGATTGTGAGCGTGGTTCTTCGTAAGTTTCAGGACAACCAGGAACTGCAAGCCCAAGTACTCCCTTCCCTACATAGAAGAAAAAACATAAACAATTACAAAACAATTCAACAAGTTCATATAATAATGAATATTTAATCATATAATAAAACCTTGGATGATAAAAATCAACTGTGGAGATGGTGAATAAGAAGGCAAGTGAAGGCCATTAGGATCAATGGTGCGGCGGATAAGAGATACACCGGCGCATTGTAGCTCAGGATGATTTGGATTCCATGTCTCAGTGAGACCGGCCTCTGACTCAACACGGTGATCTGGTTCCAATGCATTGATACTGTCAAGCTGGCATTGGTTGAACCTGTCTAATTCTGAGTGATGTGCTAAACATGCAGTGCTGAAGAGCAGCAAGCAGAGGGAAAATAGGAAGTGTTTGGCCATTGTGATAGTGATCATTAACTGATTACTAATGAGAATGATGAAGCGAAGAACCTGCGGTGTGGTTATTTATAGGAATGGGAGAAGGGTGAAGGAGGGACACGTAAGGGTGACATTCATCACCATGCATGGTTTCCAGTTCCTAAATGATTACACCTCTCAAATGATGATGATGATATATATGTTCACAGTGACAGCACAGAATGAATATTTGTTGCTATCCTTACATATGTAGTCCTCATCACTTCATGTAAATGGTCCCCATGCACTCTGCCTCTATTCTTTACATATCTTACTTCTTTACACTTTAATAAAATTCAGTTACACTCTTGAATTTTAAATAAGAGCAGATGAACATTTGGAAATATGTATAAAATGAACATTCAAAAACTAAATTTATATCATTCCTGTACTTTTTAAAACACATGATCAACCTACATTGCCATGCCTGCATTTATGTTTCCTTTAAGTTGATACTAATATTTTACATCATTATCCTTATAAGGGGAAAAAAATACAACACCATCAAATGCAATACATACTAATTTCTATTCAAAACTACAAACTGATATATGTAAATCATAATACAAGCTTGGACCAAATAGCTACCATTTCAAACTAATGGCTAAATCTAGCAGAGCTTCTACTTGACGTATAGTTTGTTGCTTCTCTTGTTGTTTTAATCTATTTGCAACTGATTCAGGATCAAACTCTTGTTCATTTTCTTCTTCCTCCTGTTCCGAACGAACCTCTTGCAGCAATTCATCCACCTCCCTTACAAAGTCCACCCTCAAGAGAGTATTATCGTCGATTTCAAATGATGGTCGCAATGGCCCGTGATGCTGATATTATACAATATTGGAAACAAAAGAATCAGAGATTTCAAACAGATATGAACTCTAATCTGCAATCTTTAACTTAGATGGTATTTGCACCATCTTACCTATAGATTTGGTAATCCGCAGTATTAAAACATCTTTTGACTAATCTAAACCCTTTAATTTGGTGCAACTTACCTTATCTATGTCAAATGACTCAAATCCAGGTGTTTACCTTATCTATGTCAAATGACTCAAATCCAGGTGTTTACCTTATCTATGTCAAATGACTCAAATCCAGGTGGAACAAGAATGCTATATGGATCTTCCCGTGGAAATGTATCATTCATGATCTTTTTACATTTATTTAGCCACTTGTTGAAATTAAAGCTATCATACATAATCAAAAGATCATTGAGCAGTCTCATTGCAGGGGTAGCCTCTCGTTTCAAGATCTCAGTCTACAATCAATACAGAAAAATAAACTCAGAACAGAAACAAAAGAAGTATCAAGGTTGAACTATTCTATAATATGGTAGAAGTATAATTGTTCCGAAAGAAGCCAATAAGAAAGGAAAAGGTCTAAAACATTCAATGTTCTAAAATAATGGAAAACAAATAAAGGTTTATGTTTTTGCATTAAAAAATACTATTCAAGGAAACAACTAAGTCATTAGAATAACTGATAATGCAAGGAACCCTTTCTTAATGGTGATGCACACAACAGAAAAATGGTCATTGCAAGAAACTAAAAAGTGAGTTGAGTCAATCATTTAATGCAAAACCTCTATATGACCACTTAAGTAAATGGGGGAGGTTTTGCTTAGAACTCGTTTGACTTTTTTGTGAATCATTATTATTTAATTGATCTCTTGAAAAAGTATTGTCTGAAAAGTGATATTGAAACAATGTAGGGCGAAAGTTTAGTTTAACTGCTTATGCCATTGCCTCCGGTTCCCAGGAAAAGCACCGTTTAAACAGCAGATTTTCTGTTTGTGGTAAACACTTAAATTTTGGAAAATTAAGATTTCTCCCCCTTTAAGGCTCTTAAGACCTCAAATTCCAGAAAACATCAACGAAATATGTTTGTCACCATCAACGTAATAAGTTTGTCACCATCAACGTGTGTGTGCGGTGTGGAGGGAGCCAAGGTAAGTTTCTCAGTGAAATAAAAGCGGAAACTCCAAATTAAAAGAGCATAAGTATAGATAGCCATAAACAAAAGGGGACAGCTATTACCTCAACCCTTCTGTATAACAGATCCAGACTTCTTATAGCATCCTTTTCATCCTGTAAGTAGGTGATAAGATAATGTATAAAACAAGATAGTGAGAAAGAGGATAAAAATATTATGCAGATTTCTTTTTGAAATAAACACAACAAATTCTGAGATTCAACTCTAACAATCTCTTTCAAATTATAATAACCATATCAAAGATCTAAGGATGCAAAGGAGAAAACAAAACCACAATTTGTTTAGTATTTCTATCATAATAATAAACTATTTGGATTAGTATTGTCTGAATCTCAATTTCGGTATAAAATCCTGCCAAGTTACAAGGTTCAAAATTACTAAAGAGTGGAAGACTGTGCGACGACATTCTCCTCGCTGGAGCTGAATTAGGTTTTCGCTCATTGGAGACTTAATGCTATGGGTTAAGACTCAATACATCATTCTTACCTATTTTGCAGATGGATTCACATTGAGAGTTTAGATGCATACTGGAGTTGAGTGTTACAACTATGAAGGTAACGTTGGGTGCACTAAGTGTAGCCTTATCATTCGGCTGTTGCATTTTGGATTTTTTTAAAGAAAAATACTCCACTACTATCATTTTACACGTGTATGGGAAAATAACCAGTATCTTGTAGACTTGTTCTATTGTCCTCAACCGCACGAGTCTATCAGAGTTTAGACAAAATAATAATTTTTTTAGGCAAGTTCACTCAATTTTGATACCTAAAGCTGTAAACTTGTGATTCTATAACCTAACTCAAGAATTTGACAACCATAGAAACCACTATGTTGTTTGTGCTGCCAAAAATCAGATAACTAGGGATACAAAGTCATCTACAGCGCAAATGATTACGTTAAAAACTTTGACCGAAGATTTACGGTCAAGGGATCAGCCCAGAGAAAAATGTAAAGAAAAATATTACTTTCTTTTTATCAGAAAATTAAATCCAACTACCTAGAATATTTCAAACACCAAAATAACAACTTAAATCACGCCGGGCAAGATCAAGGCGATTCCATATGACCATCAAAACAAGTTCAGTAAGTTCTCCTCTCTCAGCAGCTTCCTCAATTTTCTACAAGAAAAACAGTAAGTCGGTAATGTTGAATATTCATGCCATGCCAGAGACCCTTCAAAAAAAACTTATCAATGAAAAATAAACATGCACGGCATGGAAAATTAATTTAATGAGGAACTAACTATGCAGGGTGTACATTTATTACAATTTTAAGACAAAAACTTGGTCATGGTGGAATATTTTATCTGCATGACAATTAGGAATTTAGGATAGTGAATTGCATCACCAAGAAGCTACCTCTTCTACTTCTTCAACGGCTCTTATGAAGCTTGAAACCAATTTCCGTGCATTTCTAACATCTTCTTCAGGGTATCCTTTCAGCCGCATGCCAACTTCACGATACTCGTCAATCTTTCTCTCTTCTTCCTCTTCTTCTTCTCTGCGTCTTCGATGCAACTCCTTGGTATTTTCACATTGTTGGGCTTGCCATTCCTATCCTAGAGATGGTTAATGAAATCTATCCAAATAAAATCTTCCAACAAATTTGGTTTCACAAGATAGCATACACGCACACCAAGAGACACATTGATACCACAATGCTTTTACAATTATAACTCATAGGCCAAGAAGAAAAGTGTCCACTCATCCACTCTATATTTTGATATGATAGTTTATACTTAGGACTGATAATGTGAAGACCATCCTCTACTTTTACAATTTGACCCCTTTCGTCTGCGCTGAAGCCACTCAGCACGCTGTTACCTTTGTTTTGTTCCTCGGATTCCTCCTCTTTTTGTTGATGTCCACCTCTACATCCAATGGGGGAACTGTGTCTTGGTTGATGTTGTTCGTATTGTTTTTCCTGTGTTTCCGGGAACTCTGCCTCTGGATTTCCACCAAGGTAAAATACCTGCAAACACATAATTCAGTAGAAAATGTTATAAAGTTTATAAGTCTCTTCAACAGCATCACAATATCAAAATTTGGATAATGTAACTTATAGTTATATAATTACTTACTCTGGGGGTTGAATCGAGCTGGTTTAGAGTGTTGGAAGTGTCAAGAAGACTAATGGCAACAAGAGGTTCATGACCATGATTATAGGTCCAGTAAGGAATTCCAGGTGGAATGGCAATGACATCACCTTTAGAGAAGCGCCGAACTTCTGGTGGCTGTCACGTAGTTGCTGCTGCTGTCTAGATTGTGAGCGTGGTTCTTCATAAGTTTCAGGACAGCAAGATTGTGAGCGTGGTTCTTCGTAAGTTTCAGGACAGCAAGGGGCTGCAAGCCCAAGTACTCCCTTCCCTCTAAAAAAAATGTCTCAATTTGCATATTATTTCCAAAATCTTTACCAAATAAGACATTGTTTCAAATTTCAAATGAAAAAAAGGCATCCTTGTCTCCTGAAAATTCCTCATCTTTCATTCCCAAGTGACTTAAGACTTTATAAATTTCTCCTAAATTCAAACAACACTTATCATCAGCAACAAACTTATGGATGGTTTGATCAATTTCAATGAAACTCCAAGCAGAAACAATCACCACACCCCTATCTTTCATCAATTTTCTTACCTCTGAAACACCTTCCCACTTACCCATATTGGCATACATGTTCGCCAAAAGAATGTACCTACCACTATGTTGAGGCTCAAACTCTATCAAATACTTGCCAACTTTCTGTCCCAATTCAAAATAACCATGCATCAAACATCCATTAAGCAAAGACCCCCATATAGCCCCATCAGGTTCAATATGCATACTTTTAATAAAAGTTAAGGCCTTTATTACTTGTCCACTTCGAGGCAAAACATCAACCATACATCCATAGTGTTCAATAGATGGCTTTATGCCATATTTTTCACTCATAATTTTTCATTGTACACGCTTTAAGAACACTCACCAAAAGAGGCTTTTGAAGAAGGGAAATGGATTCATTCTTATGTTGAGGAAAATGATTTGGAATATGAGCTTGAACATGGAACTGGGTTGATTGATTTTTACACGAAATGTGGAGGAGTAAAGAGTGCATAGAAAGTGTTTGATAAAATGCCTTTTAAAGATGTTGTGACTTGGAGTGTTATGATTTTGGGTTTTGCTATTAATGGGAATAATCTGATGGCAATGAAACTGTTTGAAAAGATGGAGAAGTTTGGACCGAAACCTAATGAGATTACTTTCATCGGTGTTCTCACTGCTTGCAATCATAAAGATCTGTTCTGTGAAGCGTTGCGGTTATTTGAAATTATGAGTGAAAAATATGGCATAAAGCCATCTATTGAACACTATGGATGTATGGTTGATGTTTTGCCTCGAAGTGGACAAGTAATAAAGGCCTTAACTTTTATTAAAAGTATGCATATTGAACCTGATGGGGCTATACGGGGGTCTTTGCTTAATGGATGTTTGATGCATGGTTATTTTGAATTGGGACAGAAAGTTGGCAAGTATTTGATAGAGTTTGAGCCTCAACATAGTGGTAGGTACATCCTTTTGGCGAACATGTATGCCAATATGGGTAAGTGGGAAGGTGTTTCAGAGGTAAGAAAATTGATGAAAGATAGGGGTGTGGTGATTGTTTCTGCTTGGAGTTTCATTGAAATTGATCAAACCATCCATAAGTTTGTTGTTGATGATAAGTGTTGTTTGAATTTAGGAGAAATTTATAAAGTCTTAAGTCACTTGAGAATGAAAGATGAGGAATTTTCAGGAGACAAGGATGCCCTTTTTTTCATTTGAAATTTGAAACAATGTCTTATTTGGTAAAGATTTTGGAAATGATATGCAAATTGAGACATTTTATTTTATATAGGGAAGGGAGTACTTGGGCTTGCAGTCCCTTGCTGTCCTGAAACTTACGAATAATCACGCTCACAATCTTGTTGTCCTGAAACTTACGAAGAACCACGTTCACAATCTAGACAGCAGTAGCAACTACGTGACAGCCACCCGAAGTTCGGCACTAAGACCAAAGGCTCGATGCTATATATGATGAAGAGCCTCTGGGATTCGAAAAGGATCCATTGGCGAATGATGTCAAAATGCTAGCGCATGACCCATTGGATGAAGTTGATCTAGAGGAAGGGGTGGTTAAAAGGCCAACATACATCAGCGTCAAGCTAAACCCTCAACTCAAGATCCGAAATTATTCAATTACTGCAAGAGTTCAAAGACTGTTTCGCTTGAGATTACGATGAGATGTCTGGTTTGAAGAGGGAATTGGTAGAACACAAGTTGCCGATCAAGGCTGGGAAGAAGCCAATCAAACAAAACCCAAGGCGTTTTTCCCCAGAAATCCTCTCAAAATAAAGGAGGAAGTTGAAAGGCTCCTTCGATGTAGATTCATCCGCACAACCAGGTATGTCGAGTGGCTGGCTAACATTGTCCCAGTCATTAAGAAAAATGGGTCTTTAAGAGTTTGCATAGATTTTAGAGATCTAAACTCAACAACTCCTAAAGATGAATATTCGATGCTTGTGGCGGAGATGCTAGTCGATTCTGCCACAGGACATGAATACCTTAGCATGTTGGATGGATACTCCGGTTATAATCAGATTTTCATTGCAGAAGATGATGTTCCCAATACAGCTTTTCGTTGTCCATGGGCCTTAGGCACTTACGAATGGGTAGTGATGCCTTTTGGCCTAAAAAATGCTAGGGCAACCTATTAATGGGTAATGAATTCAATTTTTCATGATTATATAGAGTCCTTCATGCAGATATATATTGATGACATTGTAGTAAAATATGTGTCAGGAAAAGACCATGTAGACCATCTTCGACAATCCTTTATAAGGATGAGGAAGTATGACCTTAAGATGAATCCTCTAAAGTGTGCATTTTGTGTGCAGGCAGAAGATTTCTTGGGTTTTGTGGTCCACAAAAAGGGGATCGAAATCAACCAAAATAAGACCAAAGCAATCATGGAGGCGAAAGCGCCGTCAAACAAGAATGGGCTGCAATCGTTATTAGGTAAAATAAACTTCTTGAGGAGATTTATATCAAACCTAAGCGGCAAAACGCATGCCTTCTCACCACTGCTTCGAGTCACCAAAGAAAGATTTGAATGGGGCAAAGATCAGCAAGAGGCTTTCGACAAAATCAAAGACTATTTGACCCACCCTCCAGTGCTTTCGCCACCGTGCAGAAGCAAGAACATGAGGTTGTACATAACAGCATCAGACAAGACTCTAGGAAGCATGTTAGCTCAAGAGGATGAGAATGACGTCGAAAGGGCTATTTACTACCTCAGCAGGGTTTTGAATGATGCGAAAACTAGATATAATATGATAGAAAAGTTATGTCTATGTCTGTATTTCTCGTGTACAAATTTAAAGCAATATATAAAGCCAGATGATGTATATGTCTCTTCGCATTTTGATGTTATCAAACACATGTTGTCTAAGCCTATTTTACATAGTCGATTAGGTAAGTGGGCATTAGCGTTAACTGAGTATTCTTTGACTTATAAACCGCTGAAGGCGGTTAAAGGACAGATAGTGGAAGACTTTATTGTCGACCATTCCATAAACGAAAATGTTCTAAATTATGTTGAGCTAGAGCCTTGGAAGTTATACTTCGATGGTTCCAGCCACAAGAATGGAACAGGCATAAGTCTGTTGATTATTTCGCCTGATAAAATTCCAACAAAATTTAAGTACAAAGTCGAGGGGTTGTGCTCCAATAATGAGGCTGGATATGAGGCCTTGATAGCAGGACTTGAAATTTTGTTAGAATTGGGGGCAACCCGAGTCGAAATAATGGGAGACTCGTAGTTGGTTATAAAACAATTAAAAAAGGAGTACAAATGCGTCAAGGAAAATCTCTTTATGTAGTTTGTAATAGCCAACAGGTTACTCAAGAAATTCGAGGTGTCAACTGTTCGACATATACCGCGCCTAAAAAATCAAGTGGCCAACGACTTAGCACAAATTTCCTCTGGGTATAGGGTTTCAAAAGAAGACCTACAAGAAGACCTACGACCGTCAGACCTAGAAGCAACAAGATTTGGCTATGCTGATGAAGAAACTTTCAAAATATTTACAATGAAGGGTTTGACGGACAAAGATTGGAGGAAACCTTTGGTCGAATACCTTCGAAACCCTTCAGCGGCTGCAAAACGAAAAGTTAAGTATCAAGCACTAAGCTATGTTCTTTTAGGAAACAAATTATTCAAAAAAAAAACCTCTGAAGGGGTCCTACTCAAGTGCCTTAGTGAATCTGAGGCATACCTGGCTCCGTCATTAAGGTACTTAAAGTCTACATTGTAGGAGGCTAAACTATCAGGACCTTCAGCGGGAATCTTGCTAGAGTCTTTATGCCCTAAAGGTTTGGTTTTATGATAGGATGGGAAGAAGCCACTTAAGCTGGAATAGTTGAGACCTAAAGGAGATAATATACCATACATAGCTAAAGGTTTGCCTGCAACAGTAACAATAATTATTGCTTGGGACTCGTAGATATGGTGTTTCTCCTCCAGCAAGGGTTCACGGATGAACTGTTGATTTTTCACTACTTTTGGTCCACTCAAGGTGGTGAAAGGTGGAAGAAGTGGTGTAGCAGATTTCCCTTTGGTTTGTGTTTTCTTCTTTTGATTTTGGTTTTCAGCCATTGTTGAAGTTAAGGAAGAAATAAGTTTTTGAGAATGAAGGTATATCTGGAGAATAATACATGAGTATTTGCCGAGGAATGGAAAAGTTGGAAATAATGTCTAAAAAGGTTATTTATAGGATGTTTTGGGAGATCAAAAGTTTTGCATCATTAGTGGCTAGAGATAATGGGCCACGTGTATGTTCCAAGATGAAGAAGTGGGGTAGTGGAAGTTGTTACCTATACCCATGATGTTCTTAGGCTCTAAAAGGGATGATGATGATTTGTGATTTTTGTAAGTTCCAAGAAATCTGCCATGATGACCCATGTCGTCAAGAACGTGCATGAGGATAGTGGAACAGTTTCCTGCTTACTTCTTTCTTTTTCCTTGGTCTCTCTCTTACCTTCCCAGACACAGTCGGTCGAATCACACTGATGGCTCTATAAATATCGAAGCGACAACTTTGAATCAGACGCTGTCAAAAAATGTTTCTTTTTCTACGTGAAGGTCGAAAAAGACATTTTTGGGGGGTAATTTGTTAGCTCACAAATTCGACGCCTCATATGGATTAAAATATTTAAATAAAATATTAAATTCTTTTTAGAGGTGATGAGGCTTTTGAGAGCCTTGAGGCCTTCGAAGGGGGAAGTTCAATGTTTGGGGACTTAGAGAAAATTCTGAACTTTGAAGAGTTTTTTGGCCTTCGACTGAAGTACTGTTTGGAGATTAGTTAAAGTATTTGAAATTCAAATAATGGAGGGAGTAGTTATATTTTCTGATGACTAAGAGGGACAAGTGGCACTCGTTGGGCAAGAGACTTCATGCGCTGTGACATGTGTCGGAAGATGATGGCCTTAGGGGGTTATTGTTAGTTATTTTTACTATTATAAATAGGAGTTTTAGACATAGAATTAAGGGTGTTCTAATTTACTATTTGTGCAAGTCACTCCTAAATTTACTCAAAGTATCCGAGTGTAGAGAAAAGAGTATCAAGGAGAATGTACGTGATGTAAACAAAACATCTTTACTTTTCAATGAAGTTTAATTTAATTGCTTAACTTTACAAAGTTTTCTTTACTTTTTCTTGCAACCTTCCTCCCTTCTATGCACTTTTACTCTGTCTTCTTCCCCAATTCTCATCTAAAAACTTCTATCACTTCCCTTCTTAAAACTCTATCTTCTCTTTCTCTTTCAGTCGAATAAGCACTTTCTTATTAGAATCTTTTACCGCAAAACTGTCGAGGTGTGTAGCTTAGATAGATTTCCAAAATAAAGAACCTTTAGCACATGTCATAGGATCAATCTGATCGACCCTGTGAGTCACCAAAGTTAGATTTGGAAGATCAGCGGTTGTTTTCCATATTTTAAGGGAAACACTTGGGAGTGGCTGGACATACCTACTAAAGCATGGTGTAAGCATGCGTTTTCTTTTTATCCTATATGTGATATTCTTATGAATAATGTGTCTGAGACTTTTAATAGCACTATATTAGTTACAAGGGATAAGCCAACATTAACCATGTGTGAATGGATAAGAAATTATCTCATGAATAGGAATGTCAGCTTAAGAGAAATGGTTGATAAGTGGAATCGTATGACAATTCCTAGACCTAGACTTAGGCTGGATAAGGAAGTGGAACATGCAAGGAATTAGATTCCTAATTGGTCTGGTGATACATAATGGCAAGTGAAACATACACATACTAGGAATAGTTTCATTATATATACTTCAAAGAAAACATGTACATGTAGTTTTTGGGAACTAGTGGGTATTTCTTGTAGACATGCAATAGGTGCATTAGGTTTTAGGAACCAATGCCCAGAAGATTATGTTGATAACTATTATTTCAAGGAAACCTATGAGAAATGATATAGTTATAAAGTAAGTCCTATTAATGTTCAAGACATGTCGTTAGAGGTTGACATGGAAGAGATGTTGCCTCCAACATATAAAAGAGGATCTGGCAGACCAAAGAAGTTGAGGAGGAGGGAACATGATGAGAATCCTAATAAAGTAAGAAGACAAATTAGTTATTGTTGCACTAGATGTGGTGTACATGGCCACAATGCAATAAACTGTACGAGTCAAGTGGTTGACCTCGAAGCACAAAAACAAAAGGTATTGGATTTGCTATAATTTTGCATAGCT